GCAGCCCAGATTGCCTCTGTCCTCAAACTTGCAGTGATCTTCCTGTCTCAGCCTCCTGGGATTGCAAGCATGTGCTACCAGATCTTGCAGGGATTTCTTCAAAGTTGAACTTTAATCATTAGATTTCAGCAGATGAATACAGAAAGGACATTTCAGGTAGAGGCAATTCCAGAGTCTAGACAGAGAGGTGGGAGAGAACAGGGTATATTTTGCAGACAGTGAAAAGACCATTTTATGGGGATGCAGGATGGTGTCTTGTCTGTAAATGTGATCTTTATTATTTTAGGTTTCTGTGAACTTGAAATAACACTGATAAATACCTTCTGAGCATTAAATGAGACGAAGCACTTGGCAGAGACCCTGGTGCTCGATAAATGGTAGTTCATTCATCTGTTCAACAGGTATTTCCTCAATGTCTGCCATATATCAGGCAAGGAGAGAGATCTGTGTAAACCAGTCCAACCCACACCTCACCTCTGTGAATTTTATGTCTTGGTAGGGAAGAGTAATCATGTGTCGCACAGTTTAATAATAATGGCAGTAAGGATTTCAAAAGAGCAGCGTGAAGTGCTATAACCTTTTATGACAAGAAAGATAAGCTCAGAAGCATGACTGGGAATTACGTAGGCTGAGTCTGTGCCTTTCTCTGTCTCTGTCTTTCTGTCTCTCTTCTCTCTCTCACTCTTTCTCTGTCTATCTCTCCTCTCTGTCATTCTCTGTCTCTCTGTCTCTCTCTCTGTCTCCCTGTCTCTGTCTGTCTCTCTATCTCTGTTCTCTGTCTCTGTGTCTATCTCTCTGTCTCTGTTTCTCTGTCTGTTTCTGACTCTGTTTCTGTCTTTCTGGTCTCTCTCTCTCTGTCTTTCTCTCTTTCTGTCTCTGTTTCTCTCTAGGTCACAATAACGATTATCTTCAGTGGTAAAAACTATGAAGGTTTTAGCAGGGGAGCATCTGACATGATCAGATATGATGACTACTAAACCAAGAGAGAACAGCTAGCTATGTGCTCAGGAACCTCTGAGAATATTTAAGAGACTAATGGCATCAGTGAAGCAAGTTTTAATAAACTGATTCCTAGGGCCATGTGCATGCATGATTGGCAAGAAGGGAGACTTAGACTGAGTGGCCAGTATTAGCTCTTGATAAGGCAAGAGCTAATGAAGGTCTGAACTAAGCTACAGGAAGTAGAAATTGACAGGAAGATACAGTGCAAGGGAAATGTAAATGACTACTAGAAATTTCAAACCTGGATGATTATAAGAATGAGGACGTCACAGCCAAAAGCAGAAAAGTCAGGGAAGAGCTGATTTACGGGGAAGATGAGTGGCTCCCATTTTCAACACGTCGAGCCTGAGATGCCCTGGGAAAGCTGGAGGACCTTGCATTTCCATGCCAGAAATCAAGGAACGAGAGCTTCCCAGAGAGGGTGTCAAGGGGACAGCATTCACTCACCATCTGTCATGGGTGGAAGTGAGAACAGAGGAATATAACATGAAGAAAGGGTTCTCCACCATCCAACCCCAACCTCTGCTGCTTGGGACCTGCTGAGCCTTTCTTCCCCTCCTAGACCCAGCAAACAGCTCCCACCCCCAACTTAGCCACTTCTGTGCTGTTTGGGGGGCTCTTTGTTCAGGTAAAAGTGCTGTTACAGATTATAAAACATTAAACATTGCCTTTTCTTGTGAGCTGTCTCTCAATTTGTGTTTTTTAAATCTGTTGTTTAGCGCTGTACTTGCTCAAGCATGGGCTTTCTCCTAGCAAGCACAAGACCCACACGGGAGCCAGAGCCCCACCTGACGTGACTTGGGAACGCAGCTGTGTTCTGCCCACCAGCTACTGGACCATCCTACCAGGCTTATGCAGCAGCGGGAAGTCAAGCCAGGCACCTCTTCTTCCTGACTCACAGTGGGTAGGTAGGAGACTCCAGAGTGGTCACAGTGTCTGCACTGGGCTATGCTCAGTACCTAGACCAGAAGTGGTTAAGTCGTCATGCCTACACCTCATTTGGTGCACCATGGTGCTACCAGCCCATAGCAGGGATAGCTGTCTCCATTCTCGGCCTCAAGAAGTTGCAAGGCCTGCTTGTCCAAACCCAACCTGCCTGTGTCCCAGGCTCCAGCCCAGGATGGGGGAGGGAGCTGTTTGCTGGGTCAAGGAGGAGAAGGAAGGCTCAGTAGGTTCCAAGCATCAGAGGTTGGGGTTGGACGGTGGAGAAACCTTTCTTCATGTTACAACATCCTATCAAACTTCACTTGAGAACAGAAGTTCCAAAAAAACCTGTTAAGAATTTTAGGATTGCAACATGAATTGTTAAACTCAACTCTGGGGATCCAGTGACCATGCTGTTATTGACGCTGAAGCTGGTCCCCAGTGAAAGGCCGGATCAGAAGCACAGTTGCTAAGGAGGAGTCCAGGAGCCTTTTTCACTGTGAGTCCTTTGCTCTCTCTTTTATCTATGTGATGGCTCCCACCCAGCACAAGGTGAGCACAAGGAAATGCCCCTGGACTGTTCAAGGAGGTGGACTTGTCCCTCTTCCACCCCCGCTTCATTCTCTCTCTTTTCTAATTCTGCAGTCCAGATCTGCAGTCCAGACAGGCTCAGGACACAAGCTGTTCCAGTACAGTCTTCATTAGGTTTCCAGTTTCCTGTCATGACAGCCAAGCCCCACAGGAACAAGAGGAAATAAAAATCGATTCCTTATCAAGCAGAGTCCAGACGCTGGCTCCAGCGCTGAGGGAGACAGACAGGAGCACCAGCCTCACGCTGAGGCCTCAGAGCCCACACAAGTGACCACCATCAGTCACTGAACACGCAGAGTTCAGCTTGCCTGCAGCCCTGGGAGCTGCCCCAGGCAATATACAGGCCTTTAGGTTAGCAAAGGGCTCCCCCATGGACCAGGGCTTACTGGGTGGCCTGCTGGGGTAAGCGTGCAGTGTCCTGTGCAAGCCCCAGTCACACTCCTTACCTGTCTTCAGCACGTCATCCTGTCAGCACGTCATCACCAGCAGTGAGGTTGGACCTGGGTGAAGTGGGAGTCTCCAGGGAACCCTCTCTGCCTAGGTGTCTCCTGCTCTCCACCCCCAAGGGCCTCCTAGAAGGAGCCCTACCTAGGGTCTTCCAGGGTCAGCAAAGTGTGGAGGGTCAAGACTTTTATTAGAACCATTCGAAGTGATACCACTGGCCTTTAAGTTCTTGAAATGGTGACTTTTGAAGCACTGACATAAGAAAGGTCATGAATAGGACTGTATTTTCTCCAATCCTATAATTCTTCAGATATTTGTTCCAATGAGCACTGTCCTAAGTACCTATAAATAAGCATTCTGTCTTGCCCAGCCATGGTTGTGGGCTGAATAGAGCCTCCAATTCTACATGTAAGCAAGAGACAAAGATTTTTCTGAGAAGCTCTTGAAAGCTAAGAAGTGCTTCCTGAGGGAAAATCTTTGCTCCTCCCCCAGAATGGAGTTAATTCCTTCTTGAGCACCAATTTGAAGGTAGGTAAGCCCAAACCACAAATCTGAGTTTGAGGGTTACAAGCAGCAAATGCCTTGGGAGATGACCTGATCCTGGATTCAACAGGTACGTAGTGACAACCACTTGCTGGCACAGAAAAGAGAGGGGCTTCACTGTCCTCAAGGACAGCTCGGGGTCAGTGGCAAATGGCTGTTTGCTGCAGGACTGGTGTGCTGAGGTGAGTTCGTAAAGCAGACACGGCCTTAGCCAGAGGTGAGGGGCAGTGCGGTGTGTCAGACAGGAACTCCCTGCTCCCCGCTTCCTGGCTGTGACTCCCATTTATCAGCTTCTGTGGGCATCCAGCTCCTCATCTATAAAACAGGCATGACAACGGTCAGACCCCCACACCGGTTTGTTGTAAGGGTAAAATTAGTTAATTGTTAAAAGGCACTTACACCAGGTTGTTGCATTATATTTTATGCAACAGTTCTTTGGGTACCAGATCCAGAGTCAGATTCAACCCATAAATCATATCAGAAGGATTGTAGCCCAGATAGCTAAAAGTAATAAGGGAATTTCCAAGCTGCAGCATGTATCTTCAGACACACTGACGTGACTGTAACGTGCCGTGTCCAGCGGCTTGTGTATTTACAATCCTCTTGCCCCACGTTACTCTGTATTCTTCATTTTCAGCTCCGTTCACCAGTTCAGGCCCGAGTCCTGGCTGCAGCTCTGTTTTTCTCTCCTCTTTTCTGGGGCCATGAAAATGCATCTCACAGATCTCCTGTAGAAACTGAGAGGGCCCCAACTTGCAGTTCACAGTAGCCCTTGCACGGAACCCAAGGACCCCCCAAGACTTGCTGAGCCTTCCAGAGACTGCATGGCATTACAGGCTGTTCTATGCGCCTCCGTTCGGTCTTTCTTCTCTAGAGAAAGAGCTGTGCTGTGCCCTGGCAGCTCTCTCTGGCTTTCCCAGAGCTCTCCCTGTACCTTCCTCGTAGGACTTTCCTTGGCAGAATCTAAACATATCCAAGGCCACCTTGATGCCTGCTTCTCAGAGGACCCAGCTCACCTCTTCTGCGTCGTCTCCATTCTTTATACAGATCATCTCAGCTTCTAAGTCCTTTCTCAGCCCTCCTCACATTAATTCAGCATCACTGAGGTGCAGAACCTTCTGGAGCATATAGGTTGCCTAGAGAGCTAGCATGGGTGGCGAGCTGCGTAGGGATGGCACTGTCTTACTCAGGTATCAGGGGACGACCTCGTTGGGAGTATCTGCTACTCAGTACATTTTACCTTAGGACTAATAGCACACAGAACACTGTTTGTTCTCTGTGGTAAGCACTGAACTGAGAATTTTAGCTGCATTACTCACTGAATCTTTACTACAGCCTGTGAAGATTTTGCAGATGCAGAGAGTGAAGGAGTTAATTATTGACCAAAGCCTTCAAACTAATGTGCAATTGGCAGAGCCAGGGTTGAACCCTGCTGGTCTGCTCCAGCTGCCCATGACCTCCGTGGACAGGCTCTGGCCTGCAGCCAAGGCAAGAGCAGCCTCTGGGGCTGCAGAACTGAAGGGTGCTGGAGGCACAGGCAGCCAGACCACAGCCGGGGATGGTGCAGTCCCCATCTGGGGCAGCTCCCGCTTCAGGTAGAGGCAGAACCTGGCCCAGGGAGTGGGTCAAGTTGCCCACAAGGAACTCGAGCGTCTCTGAGGGCAGAGGGTTTGAAGAGGGAGGAGGGTACAAGGAACTGGAGGGCTGGTAGCAAAGAGGCAGAGGCACTTCTGGAGCAACTTCAATGTCATGCTGAATTAGACCATAAAAAGTAAGTGCTTTTTAAAAGCAGTTTTGCCCAGCATGGTACGCAATGTCAACTTGCTTTGTCATTCAGAGGCATCGCTCCTCACAACCCCGTGTTTGGGAGAGGGGTGAAGCTACTGCTGAGAGGAACAATGGCTCAGCTTCTCTGTTGTTTGCTGCAGGCTGAAGCAACCCAGCCCTGGATCAATCTCAGCCCCAGCGTCTTAGCTCCTAGGCTGTGTGTGCTTAGCTCTTGCAAAAGGCTGGAGCCCCACAGAGCCACCCACACACTGTGTGATCTAAGAGGAGCCACTGGTCATCTCTTAGTCATGTAAGTATTACCTCCAAACACAGCAGGAGTGCTGGTATCTTCGCATTAGGTCCCTGGAAAGGTTAAATAAAAGAATCTATGCCCAAGCTCTGGCATATAATCAGCACTCAAAAACGACTGTTTCTGCTGTTTACTCCCTTTGGTATCCGCTCTTGTCTGAATGATTAAAGTTTGAGACTTCAAAAAGAAAGGAAAGAGGGTCGTGTTCCATTCCAGGGAGTGACAGACGAGGGTACTGCTCCCCAGTATTGAGTTTCTCCTCTTCTTCTCGGGTCTCCCTTGTCTTAGAGTGTAGTTGTGTGGTGCTTTCTGGCCTGTGGAATGTGGGGATGAGGGACATACCCTTCTCGTGGACCCAGCCCATCAAAACCTGGCATGTGTGTCCCTGCTCCACCTTCTCTTTTGTTCTTGCAGTGGCCTCCCTAGAGGTGGCCTTGCTGCGGGTGTTACAGCCCCAGTTTCCCCGTGCCTGCAGGGAGGGAAGTCCTCCCACCCGCCACTGCCCACTCCTGCAGCCTGTCTTGTTGTGTCAACCACTAAGAATTTGAGGTTGCCTGTGATAGCGCTCAGCCCACCCTGACTTTTTCGTTCATCCAAACCACAGTGATTTTGGAGCTGTCTGTGGCTTTAGACTATTTGGAAGTTTCGTGAAATGAAGGAGAGACAGGATGCAGCCCCTAACGCCGTTCTCTGTTTAGGTATTCAGGGCAGCTCACTGATTCTTCATATGCAGTTAGGGCCCCCTCCCCCTGAGGGAACCTATGAGACCTAAGAGCCTGTTGTCCTCCAGAAGGACCTGGAGAAGACGCTTGGTCCCTCATTCCTAGGGCCTCGAGCTCTGGCCCAGCCAGCCCAAGTGACTCCAGAAACACTGGGTCAGCATTTTGGGGAAAGACCGAGGTCACTGCGGTTCTATTGGGATCATGTGAGTGCCCAGAGAGACTGAGTGCGTCTATGCCAGCGTGTGTGGGCTGGAGCTAAGTTACTTTGCAAATATTTATTTGTAGTTGTTTTTTTCTTAAGCAGCTGTCAGAGGGAGCATAGTCAGGGAAAGCTGCGACTAATCTCTGTGTTTCTGGGAGTCAGCAGCTGTGCACTGGTTTGGAGCCCCACAGCGATGGTTGATGACTGAGTCCTCTGCCTCTCCCCCACTTTTAGCTACACAACTGCTGACCCAGGGCTTGCCCTTGGTCAGGGTCCACCTCACGGGAGACTGTCAGAGTGCTCTGCCTCCCAGGAAGTGCAGTGGTTAATGTGAACTGGGTCTTTTCATTGTGACTTGCCAGATAGGACTGATTTAGATACAGACTGAACTGAGTTCCAATCTTAAGGAAGTGAACTATGGAAAAACTTCAAAATAATTATTCAACCTTTTAAAATTTTAAGGGCTGGGGATGTAGCTTCATGGTAGAGTGCTTGCCTAGCATACACAAGGCCCTGAATTCAATACCCAGTACCACACACACACACACACACACCCACCCACCCACACACACACACACAAACACACAAATTAAAAATAAAATAAAACTTTTTTTAAAAATGAAGTTTTAACTATATATTTTTAAATCGGGGATAATACTAGCAATTTCCTGGTAATGGGAGGCTTAGGCTAGATCATTAAAGTGCCCATTCATGTCCATGATAGGTGCTTCACGAGGGGAAGAGCTGGCTTTGACCTCATATTCTGTTGAACTGGGGAGAGGCCTCTGGACACCCCTCCCCAGGCTGTCTCTTTCCCCCAAGCCCATGGGCTGCTGCACACCCTCTCAGGGAAACAAGACTAACTTGGATGCTGTGCTCAGAACCAAGAGCAGGACGGGAAATGGGTGGAGAGTCCATATCAGGGCGTCCGAGTACAGAAGGCTGACGGCCAGGTCCCAGACCCTGGGCCCACTCTATCTGGCCCCGAATCCTGCGACCGCCTTCTGGTTATGTGCTCCTTCATCTCTCTGTGCCCTGAATCCTTGTCGGAAAACTAGGATTAATGACAACTTAGGGCTGCCTAACAGTCAAATAAGTTAATGTATGTGGCACACTTAGAACTGTGGCTGGCACATGGTGAGCACACAGTTTTTATCGATGACCTGGCAAGAAATTGGAAGCAGAGCTGGGGCTCTTGTTGGGGGCTGTGTAGACAGAATAGAGTCAGTACCGCTCCTTTACCAACATCCTCTTCCGGACCACATTCCAAATACCTGGAAGCCCGGACTCAAGTCACCTGAACTATACTTCAAGGTTTATAGGAGTTTCTTCCCTGGCCCACCCTTCCTGGGTGGAATTCAACACGACATGCAAACCCCACTCCCTGAAGTGTGGGGGGCTGCTCAGGGAGCTGAATAAAAACAGATGGAGCTTCAACTTGGGGTTTGAGAGCCTGGTGGCACGGAATTGGAGGAGACAGGGGCAGAAAGGGACTGGACTGGAGTCCTCTGTCCCTTTCATTTCAACCACTGCATACAGACATCGTGTTAGGCTTCCAGCAAGCTTGGCTGATTATAGTCCTGATGGCAAGATAAGGAAAGGCCACTGTCACTGGTGTCCCTAGTTAACGAGAATAAGTGGGCAAGCAACAGATACACAGCACACACCAGCCAGCTGGTAGGGACTCATGAGCAGTCCTGAGGTGAAGACTCCTGGGGGGCTCCAAAAAGCACGTGCATTAGCCTTTCAAATCCAGCTCTTCCCCCGCGGCAGGGCTAAGCTAAACTCCAGGGTCTTTGCAACCCAGACCCCAAAGTGATCTTCCAGTGACCCTGGGCTCTGCAACTCAAGCTGCCACAACCCCAAGGGCAATCTGTTGGTTTAGGTTTTTGGATTTCAAGGAACAGAACCTCAGTCAAGGTTCATTAAGCTACACAGGCTTTGTGGTCTGGATGCACATGGGGGTAAGAATACGAGCCGCCAGCCGGACTTGGAAGGTTCTCTGGAGCAGATGATCAGGCTTTGGAAAGAGCAGGGCCGAGGTGGGTCAAGGGGTGGGCATGGGGGAGACTGAGGGCAGAAAGCCCTTCAATCCAAGGGGTGCTGGGAGTCAGGGTGCCCAGGACATCGCCCTAACATGCCCTACCTCCTCCAAGGCTCCAAATCGTCCACTCCTCCTGCTGCCGCTGGCTTCCTTGCTTTCTGCTCTGACTTCTCTCTCATGACTTCCGTTTGCCCAGAACTTTGGCTTGCTCGTGGCCTTGCAAGCTGCCCTGCGAGCTTCTCTTCACCTCAAGTGCCTTAATCTTCTGCGCACACTGCTAACTTCTCTGTTCTTTCCAGTTTTCTCCAAGTCATTGCTCTTGGGAAGAAATGATAATGCCAGGCCACCTCCGTGGCCCCTGGGCAGTGTGCAGGTGGGCTACCTGTTACGGTTTCAATGTGTCCTCCCAAGTTCATGTGCTAGAATCTTAGTCCCCAGTGCAACAATGTGGGGCCTGTAGGACAGGATGAGGTTCTGAGGGGTCCGTCCTCACAAAGGGGTTAATGACACTGCTTAAGAATGGCTTTTGTACAAAACAGTTCTGTCCCCTCATGGTGTCTGCAGGCAGCAAGGAAACCCTCACCAGGTGTGGTTTCCCAGCTTGGCCTTTCCAGCGTCCAAAACCATAAGAAATGTCCCTGTTTTTTACAAATTAGCCAGTGTTAGGTGTTTGTAGTAGCACAAAACAGACTAAAACACTACCCTGTGTCAGTCGAGTGGGAGTTACATGATCCAGAACACACATGCAAGACATGGCAAATGCCACCAGAAGTCTGTTTAGGTCAGCGTAGGAGGGAGTGTGGACGCCAGCTCGTCCCAGGACACATGCCCTTGCCTCCGTTCTGCTCTATCTTCTGCAGGACTCTCCCAGTCTAACCACAGCACACAGAAGCAGGGTACCCAGGAGAAGACACCCGAGGCGCTGGCGATCCATGTAAGGTTTGAGTTACTGATCCTGTCTGCCTGCGTGCATTCTTCTATTCTTTCCACTCACCTCTGAATTGAAGCACTCCTGTTTATTTAACTTCTTTATAAAATAATGAAATCAACAATGTTCCCACAAGTATTTGATAAATAGCTATTACAGTGAAGTTATACTCAGCACAGGAATTTGAACTGAAGTTGATAGAAAATTACAGAGTGAATATCCATTAGAAGTTATACTTTATGGCTGCCATCAAGAAATCAACTGATAACAAATGTTGGTGAGGCTGTTAGGGAAAAGGAACACTGCTCCACTGTTGGTGGGAGTGCAGACTGGTGCCACCACTATGAAAATCAATATGGAGAATTCTCAGAAGACTAGGATTGGAAGTTCCATTCAATTCAGCTATTCCCCTCCTGAGAATTTCCTAGAAAAACTGAAAAGGTCATGTCACAGTGATACATGTGCACTCATGTTCGTAGCAGCACAATTTGTAATAGCTAAATCTTGGAAACAACCAAAATGCCCATCAACCACAGAGTGGATGAAAAGTACATGATATTTTTATGCAGTGGAATTTTACTCAGCTATAAAAAAGGGTGATCTTGAGACCTTCACAAGTAAATGGAGATAACTTGAGACTATCCTCATTAGTGAAATAAATAAGAATCATATTTATAAATATCACATTGTGTCTCTAGTGTAAAAAGTAATAACAAATGTAGGAGTAATAAAACCCAAAATGTGTAATTGATATTGTAAAAAAGATAGAAAAAGAAAGGGCTCTAAAGGATATAACTGCATGTATGTTTAAGTGTGTGGGATTGATAACCATATTACTAGGTTTTTGTTGGATTATTGACCAGAACTGTTTGCAGTCTCACTGTTTGAATGTCCACTTTGTATGCTTTACTTTTATAACTTGAACAACTATTTCTAAGAGGACAATATGTAATTATCAACTAGTGATTTCTTACTGTTTAATTTTTTGAAATTATGTATTATTTCTACCCTTTTTATGCTTTATTTTCTTTTTAAATAATTTTTTAAAAAGAAGTTATATTTTATTACTTGTATTACATATCTTATTTGGTCTTATTAGCATCAAAGTAGAATTTTCAGGGAACATTCTCTACCTTCATATTCATTTTTTCTTTCTTCTTTCTTATTTTCTTCTTTTTTTCCATCATACTTATTTTATGGATGAAGCAACTGAAGTTTAGGGAGAGCTGGTCCCTCGCCTAAGGCCCCTCAGGGAGCAATAGGGAACTCCGTACTTGATCTTGGGTAGCAAGACGAAGGCTCTCAGTAGCACCCCTTGTCTGCTCTGGGGCTATAACCTTTATCTGTGTCGGTGTATTATTGGTTTTCATTCATAATCCTGCTTGTCCCCAGGTCTCCAAGAGGTAGCATCCTGGGTGGTTATGTGTCTAAGTGTCTCTTCCCAGTGCTGACTTCTCAGACTGTGCCTTAACTTCTTCCTCACAGCTGGATAATGGATGCCTTTTCTTCCTTTCCCTGCCCTTTCCTGCCTGCCCTTCCCTGTCCATGGTACTGGACTCCAGAGCTACCATTTTTTAGGTCCCTGGGGAATTACTACTATTTTCTCTGCTCACCTTGAGGTCTCCACTTGTCAGGAGCATGCATAAATTGAGCTTTATTGTGGCTTCTTATACTCATATATTTTGTTCATATTAATTTCCCCGTAGCCAAAAAAATCTTATTTCCAACTCTAAGGCTCCTAAGCTGGTCTGGCCTCACCCTTCCGGGCAGCAGGTAAAGCATGACTTTCCCTGAGTTTACACCAAGCATCTAAGTTTCTAGCTGTCACTGTTTCTAGCTGGTTAGTTAAATCATAGGATGTTGTGAGTTAGGAGTAACTTATGGGACAAGAACAAGATGGAATCTGAGTCAGGTTCCAGGAGAGATGACAGGAAATTTTTATTTAATTGCTTTATATGATCAGGAAGAAAGTATTAAGGAGGAAGCCGGAGCTCATTGTGCCGTGGAGTGAAGAAGGTGGGTGGAGAGCTCCATCCTTAATCAGAGTCTAGCGGGAAGCCAGGAAAGCTGCGGCTCCAGCTGATTGCTGCTCTGATGGTGGCTGAGAGAGAAATCTGTGCAGCAAATGCATGTGAGCTGAGTCCGTGTGTGTGTGTGTGTGTGTGTGTGTGTGTGTGCCAGCCTGTGACTGTCACTGTTTTATATCTCCCATCTAGTGACTGACATGTCCAAGTACTACCAAGTTTCCCTTCCATCTCCTGAAGGACCTCCACCATGACATCTGTGAGGATAAATAAAATGCAGGTGATGTCTCGCTCATGTAACTGGGCATGGTAAGTGCGCCCAGCTGATAGGAGCTTCTCCTCCGTGAGATCATCCAGAGTCCCAGATTCCTTCCATCTTGTTTCTCTAGCATTTTGTAAGAAATGATTCTCAAACGTGGCTACACATGGAGTTCAAAGGCAGCCAAGTTTGAGAACCATTGTCTTGGGGTGTCTTTCTTATCTACGCAGCTGAATCTGGATCACAGGTACACACACTGGCCTGAGACTACATGGATAGTTTCCAATGGTACCCTGATAATTTGGTCATGGTATACAAGCCGTAATTAATACTAGGTGATAGGTACTAAGATCCTTAAGGAGGCTCCAAAGGAAGATTACCAAAGACGTCTTTGGAAATCACAGGAGGAGAATCTAAAAATATGTGTTACCTAAACAACTTTGGAAATCAGAGAGGTTGTCTTGGAGGCCGAGATCCTTGACAGAAACATATGACACTGGAAAAGCTAGATTTATATATCTGATTAGCTTCTAGCTTTATGTATTCATCCACAAAATGGAGCTAATAAGGATTATGGAAGATAAATGCTACAACACTTAGCACAAAGCTTCCCCATAGTTAGCAATGAATAAATATAGGCTGTCCTGTTAGTTATTTTCTGGGGTAGATAACTGTGGAGATCGGAAGACTTTATGGTGCCAAGACACAGTCAGGATTAGGGCTAAGTTTTCAGACGATTTTTTATTTGTGAACAAGGAAGCCTAATATAGCTACCTGGCAAAAGCTCCTGCTGCTGCTGGTGCTGGTGCTATGATCCTGCATGTACAGGCGGAGATACAAGAACATAGTTATTAAGAAGAAAGAAAGCAAAGTTTCATCTAGAACTCCATTCTTGGCCCAGAACCTGCTGGGGGAGATTATCTGGCTGGCTTCTCTGTGGCCTCTCTGCCTTCTGGCTCCAAGGATGCTGAGGCAGGCGGGGGCACAAGGACAACCTACTTTGCCCTCCTGTCTGCAGGAGGCGTAGATGAAGTTGGCTGCTGTCCTCCAGTTTTGGCTTCATTTGCAATGAGACCCCGTGCTCAGCTTCTACAAAATCCCTTCTCCCTATTTCGTCCCTCTCTGCCTCAGGCAAATGTGCTGCTGTGTGTCCTATGCTTCATCTGTGCTGTTCCCTGGAACCCGTGCCCCTCCCTGCAGAGCCCCTGGGTCCAGCAATGCCCTTCTGCTCCCAGTCCTGTCAGCTCTAGTATTTCTCTCCCTTTGTCCACTGAAGTGAAAGTAAAAAGTATGCACCAGTGTCGTATACGGAGAACGTTCAGGTACACAGTGAGAGGGTGAAGCCTGGGGGTTGCTCTCTGATCTCAAAGGACAGAAATAGGAGCGGGAGACCCCCTCCTCGTGGCCCCTGGGGCAGGATGCAGAGGAGCTAGAAATCTCCCTGGAGGGTCTGCAGGGATTGATTTCTGACAACAAATTATGAGACTGGGAAGCACCACCAGGTTCACACACAACTGAGTTTGTTAAAGATTTTCAGAGGCAGCACGAAGGCCCAGCACTCTCAGGCCCTTGGCTCTGACATCTAAGAGGACACTTTCTCCCCCAGCCCTGCTCCCTTCTTCCTCATCAGAGCTATAATTGTCATCACGCTGGGAACAGCCACAGATGCATTAGCAGCTCTCCTCTCAGTCAAAACAGCTCTCCGGCTCTCTCCCTCTCACACACCTGCCTGTCGGCCCCTGTCAGACAGTCACATTCAAAGATTCACAAAGTAAAGGAGAAGAAATATGCGAATGGAGCAAAGGCAGAGGTAATTTATCTCTGTCTGTCACAGCACTCTCCACACCAAATAAAGAAACATAAATCGGGTTTCCTCTCACCATCTGTGGTCACAGCAGCTGTCCCTGCAAGGAGGGAAGGCCAAGGAGAGGCGAGGCATGGGGGACAGGCTGGATGGACTGGGGGCCGACTGTATGTGTGCTACGGACTTCTTACACAGCTACACACAATCACGAAAGTCTTCCCAAACTTTCCAGCTGAGGGCTACATCTCCCTTATCAAATGACCCTGCACAGAAATTTCTGTTTGGTGAGGAGGAGTCACAGCAAGAAAGGCAGTGTCAGCCCTCACTGAACTCAGAGTCTGATGGAGGAGATCAGCATGTGATGCAAACTCTGAGCTTAGTGCAGGGTTGTGGCGCCTGGTGGTTGAAGGCATCAAAGCCAGGGAAAGACTCTGAAGAGTTTCCACAAAGGAAGGGGCCTCCAAGCTGAGACGTGAGGATGCAGCCAGTTGATAGTGAGGCTCACAAAACCATCGGGGTGGGATGTTGGGCATCCAGAGCAGGGAGAAGGTTTAGGTAGGAGATGGTGGTCTGGGCCAGGTGAGTGGCAACAGGATTGGGAAAATGAGAAGAAGGTAACAGGTTTCTAAGAAGTGGAATGAACAGGAATTGGTGAGATTGAGCATGAGGGACAAGAGCGGAAGGCCCCGGGTTGTGGCCTGGACATCTGAGTGGCTGGCTGAGTCTTTGAGTACGGGGAGGCAGAAGTCTAGAGTCACAGCTGATTACCTGCATGTGGGTCACATCAGGACCCGCCTGCCCGTGGCCAGGTGAGTGGTCAGTAAGGTGAGTTAACACCAAGACCCCTTGGCTGTGTGAGGAGGCAGGCGTGGGGTCAGCTCACGTGTCCCTTTTGTACCAGAGCTCTCTGCTGACCTTGACTGCCCCTGACACCCCAGGTCAAGGCCAGGGGCCTCTCCTGCTGCTTCCATGGCTCTCGATTCCCAGCCATGAGCCTGTTTGGGCTTAGTAATCTGTTTCCCTAGAAGAAGATAAGCTCCACAGAGGCAGAGACTGTTGGTCTTTCTTGCTAGCATATCATAAGCTCTTACTAATCAGTTTCTGAATGAGTGAATGTATGAATGAATGAGCGATCTTGGCCACTGGGTGTACATTTCCGAGGGCAGGAATTCGATTAAAGGTATTATCATGCAATCTCCTGCACTGCATGAAGTGTTTCCTAAATAGCCGCTCTGCCTCCATTCTCCATCATCAATCTGCTTTCCACACAGTAGTCAGAGACCTTTTGAAATATAAGTGGGATCATATGACCACTTACCTCAGCCCTCTCAAGGCTTTTTACAGACCCGCCACAAAAATGTAACTACCTAATGACGCCTCGCAGGACATCTGGGCACTGGCCACCCCACTTCTCAGCTACCTCCAGTCTTGTTCGTTCAGCTCTTACCCCACAGCATCTACCCCGTATCTCAGACTTTGTGTGCAAATATGTACAACTTGTGTGTGTGTGCACAAACCTGACTACATGTGTGTGCCAAGAACCACATATGTACTGCTAATTTCTGCCTAGAAAACATCTTTCCCTTCTCTGTGTGGGTTCATCTTTCAAGCCTTCGCTTCTCCCCCGTGATAAACTACACACCAGCACCTATTCCCTTGTCTCTTCATTTTCATTTCCTCCTTAAAGCTATCAGGAAGAGGAACACAGTATGTGTCTGTTTACTTGTTTAAAGCAGGCCCTATCTCTTGTATCGCAGGCTCCATCCACTGGATGCCTATTACTGTGTGCGGCACATACCCAGAGTTCTCGAAGTTTCAAAGGATGAGCATGTATGTCAGTTCAGGTGCAGGGAGAGAAAGAGGGTCCATCCTGCAGAGCTAGAGAGACAGAAGCTGTCCCAGTGCAGGAGGAGTGAGGAGGGGAAGACCTTCAGTCACCACTCAGCCACCCAGGCACTCAGGAAAGCACCTGAATAATCACCGGGGGTCCACCTGGTGCTGGAGCTCCACCAGGTCATGGTGACTCAGCCAGGGACAACACAGACAAGGTCTCTGGTTTTCTGAAATTTAATTATAATATCAGCTGGAATGAAAAAGAGAATAAATAGGTAAACACTTGAACAAAATCTTTAATACATAGGGAGGAACTAAACAGGGTGCTGCGTGGAATACTAGTTTACAAGTGTCAGGCGTTGGAGCCTGGCTGGCCTTGGGGTCCGAGGCCTGTGTGGAGGGCACAGCTGTCTCTCCTCTCTGTGGCTGACAGGGAAGCCACAGAGCTGATGCTGGCCTCAGCCAAGAGACCGGAGTCCATGGGCATCTTCCTTCTCTGAGTTGTCTGTCTAGACTGAGGCTGGGGTTGAGGTTAAATTTCCAGAGAAAGTGACAATCCCACACCTCTATCCCTTTACTCTTTACCCCTTTTAGTTCCTTTGTGACACATTAAGAATGGATTCTTTTAGGGTATTAGAAAAGACAAAAGGTCCTTCAAACCAGAGGCAGATGTTTTGTGAATTTTGATACAAGAACTAGAACTGCCAGGCAGACAGATCTGTGGGCAGACTGTGAACCCTGTGTCCCAGAAAGCCATCCCCCTTTCCTTGGAACCCCTTACCCTCTGCCTCTGGGGACAATTGTACTGCAGAGGCTTCCGTGTCCCTCCACCTACTATGGAGAGGATGGAGCAGGAGAGGAGCCCAGGAAGGCACGAAGATGTGAAGCGTGGGCACCACTCCATGGCCACCCCTGCAGTGGGGACCACTGGGTCAGAGCTCAAGGTAGCTATGCTTTCTGGGCCTCGGTTTCCTTCCTGGATGCCAGAGCTGTTGGTACACATGGCAGGTGTCCATCAAGTCATTCCAGGCGCTGGTGTCATTCTGGGGACTCTGGGTGATCACGCTTAGTCCTCAGCACCCCTCAGGGACAGAGAAGGCTCTCCATATGGCAGATGAAGGGAACAGGATACATAGAGCTCCAGGCCCATCCCAAGTCCCCCACTGGCAGGTGGAAGAGCCACTGGCATCCAGGTGGTTTCACTTGGGTGCCTGTGCACTTGACACTGAATACTTTGTGCCCTCAGTGTTGGAGCCATAAAAGTGGAAATCAGACTCCATAAGCCACAGCCCTGCTCAACAAATGTAACCTCTTTACTCTGGCTTGATCAAAAGCATTTCCCCCCGCCCCCAGTGTTTTACAGTTTTTTCATTGTAGGTTCATTCCCTAGGTTGGCTCTTGCTGGGTTTGGATCAGGAACCCTCCAGAATTTCAGCTTGTAAGCCCCTATGAGGAATTAGAAAAAGCCCAGTGTGGTGGCCCATGCCTGTTACAGGATTATTGTCTCAAAACAAATATAAAAACAGAGTTGGGCATGTACCTATGTGGCAAGGTCCTGGACTGTATTCCCCATACCACACACACACACACACACACACACACACACACACACTCACACACACACACATAATTAAACACACACACAAATAAATAAATAGAAAGAAATTATTTTCCCATGTAAACTTATCATAAATGTAAACAGTTTAATAAGATGTTATTTCTAAGTTATAAATCACTACAGCACTCTTTTAGATGTATCAGAAGAAACTTAACACAATAGTACCTTGATACTTACCATTATCTGCATAATAAGATCAAATAAAGCTCTCCCCTCTAAAAACAAAAGCTCTTTTGCACTTGGTAATTTTACTTTATTCTTTTTTCTTCTTAAGCTCTATCCCACTTTCTCATAGATTTTTCACTGTTTTATTGTGTATACTTATGCTTTAAAGTTCTTTATTGATCATCTCATCATATGTAATTAAAACTAATTTTTAAAAATAGTTTCTGTGGGGGTCAGGGCTGTAGTTCAGCGGTAGACCATTTCTTAACATGTACAAGCCCTGGGCTCAGTCTCAAGACTGAAAAATATTCTGCAACTATAATTTCTGAACAGTAAAACATTTTTCTTTTCTTTGAAATATTCCTACAATAATTAGTATTAGGTAATTGATCAGAAATAGTATATGTAAAAAATTTGTGGAAAATATTAAATGTGCAAGACTTTAGGGGCCTGTCCATGGATGGACACTCACTGTTGCTACGCTATTCACAACGAAAGCACAGAAGGCGAACTGTATCACTGTAAGTGGACAGCATGCCGTGGCTTATTATTACAGCTGCTGACAGCGTTATGTATTGTGGAATGCTCGGCTTTTTTTTTCATTAAATGAATCCAAATCTCATCAGCTGATGCTAGAAAAGAATAAAGAAGAAGATCTACAGCTGGCAGCAGGAAAGAATGAAAGACGGGGACACCTCTCACGTGTGTTTATGTGTTCCCACGACTTGAGGATGTAATGTTGAGGGAGGGGAGGAGCTCCACCTTCTCCTTCTGCAAACCATGCAAAGCGTGTGTCTGAGATGTGTGTGTGTGAGGGTACTGCCACCTGCCAAGTCCCTTCCAACTGAGAACAGTGAAAATGTAGAGTGTGAGCTTTATGGGAGACTGATGCACTCAGACACTTATTGATATGTTTTTTATTTTTATTTATTTATTTAGAGACATCATGTTGCTGTGTGGTTCATGTCGGCCTTGAACTTAGTACGGAGCCCAGGCTGGCCTTGAATGTAAGGTGATTCTTCTTCTTCAGACTCTGAGTGCTAGGACTGTAGCATGCACCATTGCGTTTGTCATGTTAGATAAACCTTAGCATTCCACCCTAAGCTATGAAGAGCCTTGCCATAGATGTTCCCTGGGTGAAATAAGGCCACCTTCGGTAGTTCTGAATGATGTTCTCATTGCTCTTTGCCCTTGGGTTCATCCCTCAGGAGTTGAGGAAGGAAAATGTGGAGTTCTTGCATCAAAATTCATCATTCCCATCAGCCCATGAATGCAAAATGTCCACACGTGACACATCCAATTATTAATAGAAATATATAGAAGATTATAGAAGAGCACCCACAGGTTTATGAAGCCTTAAGTTCAAGGGGGTCTATGGTGATTCTCCAGTCTCCACTTCTCTCTCCTATTTGGAGATGATAGAGAACTAACAATCACATGGTCAGTGTTTTTTTGTGCATAGAGCTGGGGTTGTAGTCACTTTCTACCATTCAGTGCAGTTGGGTGAGATTTGGAAGGTGACCGTCAAGCATCTTTCCTGAGATTTCTGGGGGCCCCCCAGGACAGAAAGACTGGGGTTTTCCTGCAGGAAGTTGTAGTGTTTATTCTTCACCTTTCTGTGTTTTAAGAAACAGCTATGAATTACCAACTCCTTGATGTCAGTTGCTCATGCCCAGGTCACACTTTTGGGGTTCCATCTCCAGATTCTGGGCATGAAGGACCTCTCAGCAGTTACGGAGCTCCAGTGTCAGATAAGCACGGGGCAACCTTTGTACTTCTCCAGACATCATTCCAAAGATCCCGCCCAGAACTGACACTTGCAGCCTTCCTTGTAATTTATAGATACCTAGTTTCTTGCACAAAATCCCTTCTTGACTAAAATACCTAAAAGGCTTTGGCTTTCTGCACTAAACCCTGACTGGTATATTGATATGGTCTCCTTTCTTGATGTTCAAAAAGTTTCTTCCTTTAGTGTAAATCATGTAAGACATAGGAAAGAGGAGAAGAATGGTGGGGAACACAACTACTAAAGAGGTATTGGGAAGTTAGGGACAGCATGACATCCCAGTGGAATCACATCCCACGGCAGATCAGGGAGGAGTGCACGTGGATGCTGCAGACGTGGAAACTGGTTCCCCAAACAGTCGTGCCCACGATTCCTTTGGGGAAATCATTATGTACCTCCAGAGCAGTGATGGCAAATCTTTTAGAACTTTTCACGACACAAAAAGCCCACTGTGGCATATGCCCAGTAGGTCTGCCACCAATACTCTGGAAGTACCCTCGCTCAGAGATGTGATGCTCTTTAAAAAATTTTCTAGAGACTTACTGGAAAAATAAAGCACTCAGCTCTCTGTCACTAGCCAGCCACTGTGTATTGGCTGGTTAGCACGGTTTCTGAGGGACATGTGGCTGCAATTTTTATGTGGGAAGTGGAAGAGGGCAGGAAGAGAGGTAGACTGTGACTGAAGAGGGAACGGAGGAAAATGAGCGGGTGGCCACTGGGGTGCGGAAGCCCCACTGCAGCTTTTATTACAGCTGTATTAGGCCGATTGCTCGGTGACCTGCCATTACTAATGCCACCCAGTACTTAGGACCTGTGGTGTTCAATCAGCATTGGCTCAGTAAGTGAATTAAAAGTTCCAAAGATTATAAGAGACACAAAATGATGAAAACCAGTGCTATTCATTCCAAAACAGGCTTCAGAAGACAATTAGTAAGGAACAGTCAACCATAGCAAAAATGCAAGCTTTGGAACCCTGATTCCATCTTAGGCTGGCTTATAAACTGGGCTGGCTTATAAACTGTGCGGGACTGGGAAGGAAGTTGCTCAACCTCACAGTGTTTTTCTTTTAACAGAGCAAAAATAGATTGAAAAGACATCCGAATCATGTGACTATTGTGGAGAGCAAATGGAAATAAGGTAGGTGGAGGACATACCTAGTGCATTATGAAGCAAAGAACCTGTAACACAATCTTATCCAAAAATGTGCATCTTAGTGTATGCATTTCATTTTTATCATATACGTATTATTCAAAATTAGCAGAAGATGATGTGTAACTTTAAATAGCAATTTAGACACAGGCTCTGTGCAGAGGGCACCAGCCTGTGCAACTTTCTCCATCCTGCTGCCTCTGAACCAACTGTGTTGTAGCTTTGCAGAGGGGCAGTGAGGACCCTCTAGGCCTGTCTTACAGCCTGTGTACCAGGCAGGTACCCAGTGCTGGAGGAACCCTGGAGTGGAGCAGAGGTGCCCATGTTCCCTTCTTCTCCAACAACTGATAATGTTAATCTTCTGTATTTTAACTAGGACCTTTATTTTATCAGTTACCTTCCTTGTTACTGGGACAAAATATCTAGTATGCAAGAGTTAGAGGAGGAAAGGTTTATCTTAGTTCATTGTTTACAGCGATTTTAGTCCATAGTTGGCAGAATCCAAGGCAGGGCAGGGTGGCAAAGGAGACAGTCCATAGCATGGCAGGCAGGAAGACAGCGAGCAGTGAGCTCCCCATTCCCTTTTATTCTGTTTTGCTTCATTCATGCCCAGAGTGAGTCTTCTGCATTCAGTAAATCCATTCAGCTACACCAAGAACTGTGCTGCTCCAATCTGTGGACTACTCCAGTTACCACACACCCGTTATCTCTATTCACAAACCCTAGGCCCAGCTACCTCCAAAAAGCACCCCCTGTGAACACATGAGGCATTGAGGAGATATTCAGATACCAACCGTAATAACTTTCCACCATTCTGTATTGAAGTCCAAGCTAGCCAACTTGGACTGAAACTTTTGAAATAGGCTCAGTTAAAAGTTTGCCTTAAATCTCAGATGATACTTTGGACCCGGGCTTTTCAGCAGTGCCAAAACTGTTAAGAATGTCTCAGTATTTAAGAATGTCTTAAATACTCTGTGTTTAAATGCAAATGATGAAAGAATCAATCCGGGATAGAAAATGATCCTCACATTTCACATTTCTCTGAGTGAATATGCAAAGTACTGCATCTTCAGAAAAAAAAAAATGGCTCCTTTGTACAGAAAAGATTCTTTAGTACCATGCATACCACATCTGAAGTGTCAAGGCATACATGTTGGTTTGAAAGTTAAAATGTCACAAATACTTAAATCATAGAAAGCATTTTCCTAGGCTTGCTTTTGCTGTTTCTCAAAAGCACACTGAATTCAAGCGTAATGATGTGGTGTTGTAATCACAGCATTCTGGTGACTTGGGCAGGAAGATCACAAGGGAGAGAATGACCTGGCCAGTTTAGTAACTTAATGGGAACTTGGTGGAGGTCTGAAAAAAAGCCTTACACAGAAGCGGGTTCAATATCTAGGACTGCAAACAAAAGGAATAAATAGATAGATAGACAAAAGATAAATACACAGATGCTAAGACATAAAAAATACATATAAATAAATAGCCAAAGGTTTACTTTACTGTGAAGACAAAGATAGGCCCTAGGGTCATCTTATCTGAGAGGAGTGCTTAGGTCCTGGGCCTCAACTCTTGTTAACAGGCATCGCAATCCAGTGACAGCTGTCTCCTGAGCTCATTTGGTTGAGGAGCATGCTGAGGTGTGTCCCCCTTTTGTAAGGTTGCAGCCTCAAAACCCAAAGCAGGGAAAGTGTCTTTGGACAATTAAGAAGATGGATAACTTCATCCAGGTGTCTCAGGTGACGTTGCAAGAGTCATCCAACAGTGATAGACAACCCTGGGTAGGTCTCTCTAGAGATGACCACTAGGCACCCATAGCTACCAAGCAGCCTCAAGCAGTTCTTTTGAGGCTCAGCCCCCAGATGCAGACACCAAGGAACCCAGGGAAAGTTTCCAAAGGTCCAGGAATCAGGAGCTCAGGGCCATCAAGGAGCCCAGGACAGGTCAGGAGGCCAAAGATGCCAAAAGCCCAAGAAAGATCTCTCTAGGCCCATCCACCAGGTGGTAAAGGACCCCAGGATTCCAGGGAAGTTCTCCAAAAGTTCAGCTACTGAATGCCAAGAACTGATATATAGCCCAGGACAGGTCTCAGGCCTGACAATAGTCACTGAAAACAACTAAGACACTGATGGGAAGTCTCGCTAGGAGAGACCTCTCCCAAGGGCAGAAAGACATCAAGAGATCTAGGGCAGGTCTCCCAAGGCCCAGTCACCACGAATCCAGAAATATGAGGCACCCTGGGGAGGTCATCTCAGAAGAGGTCTTCCCAGGGCTAGCCATGTGTTTAGAAAGATTAAGGATCCTGAAGGGCATCTCCTAGGCTCGCCCACAGGTACCTAAGGACACCAAGAATGCCAAGGCATGTCCACCTTGGTCTGGCCACTACTACTGAAAATCACTTAGTTGGGAGCCTTGCAGAAATCTGACCAATGTGGTTGAGGCAGGCAGGTGAACCATCTCCCTTATGGAGCCCCTGGTGCCAGCTCTCCTGGAAAGATAATCCCATTAGAATTCATCCATTTCAAACATCTCCAGGGTTGAGAAAGGTCATCCGTCCTCCTTAGCTCCCAGCTTTAGATGTGCATCGAGGTGGGCCTCCCAGCCCACCATTCTCTGGCCCAGCTGTAGCACCTAAGCCCTCTAAAATTAGAGAAGAGGGCTGCAGAGCTGGCTGCAGCCTGGTAAAATGCTGCGTGCAGAGCTTGTGCCAGCTCCACCTGCAGCTTTTTCTTCAGCCATGGCGCTGAGGTGAGAATCAACATGAGGAACCCTTCTCCACCGGCGTGCTTGGGGGTCCTGGTGACTCCACAGCCGGAGTCCTCTCCAGACCTTCACCTTTGGCCAGGGTCTGCCTTACAGCTGGCCCGCCCCTCCCTGCTGTTGTTCTTATTTTGTATTTACTGCTGCCCTTATTTCCCAGCCTTGTGTAATTTTAAATGAAAAAAATAGCAATCTTTATAGAAACAGCAAAATTGCTAGAATAATGAGCAAGTAATGCCTTGTCTCCCTTGAAGGTGGAACCGGCACGAGTGAGCTGAGGCTGGACGAGGAGGACTGAAGTTAGGCAGCAAGAAAAACTCCCGGCACGAATGGTGGAAAGCACCGGGCAGATGACAGCGAAGCTGCTGCTTTTTGCCATCTTAGCCAAAAGTCCGGCCAGTGTCGCAGGCCCTGAGCTCCTCAGCGGTCTTTTTAGCCCAAGGCTCGCTGCATAAAAATCTGGGCATTTCCCTGCTGGTAGCTAGAACTCTGCCTTTTTCTTGCTTCTCCCTTTCATTGTGTCCACCATTCCAGTACGCTGAATTCACTCACTCATCAGTCAGCATCCTTACAACTATTTAATGCTTGATGCTGGTGGCATTGGTACTCTTGGATCTCTGTGATGACATCTATAAATGCTAAACATATTCACAAATGTATGTCATTTGGGGCTCACTTTCTCCTTTTTAGCCAAGGAGTAGCCTAAGTTCGATCTGGCAAGCTTTCAGAGAACAGAGGCAGAGCTGCAGCCCCCAAATTCTGCACCGCTCCTGGCCCACAGAGGGAAAGGGAGACAGACAGCTGCAAGGAAAGGCAGGCGCCTGTCATTTCAGCTCATTTGCATATTTTAGACAGCCAGGAAGGGTGGGGTAGGGTTAAAATTAGACCGTATTAGAGGCAGTTGGAGATGAGGAAATGAGTCTAACGCTTCCTTGGTAATTGTCACTAAGGTTGTGGAAGGTGTGCTGTCCCTGAACGCAAGCTGGTAATAAACAACGCAGGAGTCGGAAATGAACAACTGGCTCAGCACTTTCTGGCATGTTTGGGAGGCTCTTTTGAGTGTCTGTGTCTGTCTTCCTCCTTCTTTTCATTTTCTCCTGAGAGCAGAGACAAAGATAATCATTGATACCCTCTAACCAATAACGACAGGGGATCCCCAGCTGGAGTAAATTCCACAATTAGTGATCAGATGACCTCTTCAAGGCTCAGCTAAAGGTGTCCTTCCAGGTGTACAGTGGGAGTGGTCAGACCTACACATAGTTAGTGAGAAGACAACCAGTGATCCAAGCGGCTAAGGGAGTACAGAGAAGAAAGCTTTTGGAGGAGCTTCCTATTGGGGTACCGTTTGATCTTGGCCTGAAAGGGTGAGAACAGTTTGTGCACTAGAGACACAAACGGAGAGAGAAAGGGATGAACTCCCCAATAATGGCATTCATAGCAGGAGATCCCTACTACCTCTGTGGTTGAACACAACACAGCATGACCTAATCTGTGGCTCACTTTGATTGGATCCTAGGTTGCACAAAATGGAAATAAAGCAAGAACAAAAGAGGACATTAAAGCATGGAGGCCCAAACAGGAATTTGCTGATAGGCAATAGGGAGCTTGGAAGGATTCTGAGTGCATGTGACTAAGTTAGGACTGGGCTTTGGGTAGGGTTATGCGGTACAGGGTCTGGGATGGCTTGGAGCAGAAAAGATCAAGTAGGGAAAATCACAGAAGTGATGACATCCCTTGAGGCAGTGGAGCATCCTACCCAAGGACTAAAGAGGAAGTCTCGGTGACTGTGGTTTGAATTTATCCCCCGTAAGTCACCTGTCAGGAACCTAATCCCCAACATGACAGCACAGAGAGACAGGAACTTTGAGGGGTGACTAAGTCATAAGGATTCTGAGCTCATGAATGAATCAATGCAATAACAGAAGGAGACGTTTCTCGGTAAGACGAGTTAATAGTCCTCCATATTTCATGCTTTACCCTGGAATCACAAGACAAGAAAGCCCTCATGGGACGCTGTCTTTTGATGTTGTACTTCAGAGCCTCCAGAATCCCAGCCACATAAACTCCTCCGTGAGGTCTCAGGTATCCTATTATGTTGGGAGCCTGCCGTATTACCCATGAGAATATAGCCACAAGATGGCGTCCGCCTACCGCCTCGCTGCTCCCCCGCCCATCGTGTGCCCAAGATGGCACACACATCCTGCTTCCTGGTTCTTGCTCGGCTTACTGTCCCCGCCATATATGGTAATGATTGATTGCTTCCTTGTTGCCGCCCAATCGCCTGTCCCCACGTGTAATCCCATGATTGGATAACATTAGCTATATAAGCCCAAGTGTAGGAAGTGCCTGACGCACAACACGGAAGAAGCCGTCGAGGACGGACATGTATTGAGGTTGCTGCCCAGTCAATAAAGGTGCTTGCAGAGGCTAAGTGTTCGTGTGCTCCATTCCGCGGGACGGAAGCGGCTCCGGACACTATTACAGCAGCACAAAATGGTCCGTGACACTGCTTCCGGAATGCTAGACCAGCTACAACCCCAAGAGGCTCCCTGCTGCCCACACAGTGAAATGTTTACTTCTTGGCCACTTCTTCAAGTACTCCAGAGCATCTGTACCCTCGCCCTCCTCACTCTTCCTCCCGCCGTTCACTTCCCAGGACATCGTTTCCTCAGCACACTCAGGGCCAGGTGAGTGTGCACCGTCCCACCTCCACCCTTTGGTGCTACCTGTACCTTCAGCCTCTCCTCCATCCCAGCCTCTGTCACCAGCATCTGGTTTTCTCCTCTGTGGTTCCATTTCAAAATGCCAAGCCAGATGAGCAGCGGGGAGACCTGAGGACACCAGAGCATGAGGCCTGCTGGTCTGGTTCTGGAGTCTTCCGCATATCCACAGCTGTGTGACAGTGAAGAATGTGTTGAGAAGTCAGGCTCAGCCTTGGGGAGCGAGCACCCCAGAGGAGCTCCGTGTTTGCTTGCCTTTCCCTTCTCCACCCATCCCAGGGAGATTGTTCATAATGCTGTGCTGACAGCAACTGCCACTCTCCGCTGCTGGGTTTCAGAGGATGACAAAGTGACAGGAAGATTGTACCACATTCTCCAAAAAGGCCCCCTGGGAAGGATGTTGTGTGAGGGTGATTGATTTGGTTCCAGGGTGATGTGTTATTTAGGGAGAAGACGGAGGAGCTGGGAGCACGGAAGGGAGAGAATGTGAAGGGAGAAAAACTAGTAGAGAAAGAGGGAGTCCTTCCCCCACAAGAAAGGTAGTGCTGGGGCTCTGACCCCCCATGGTCAGAAGACAGGATAGGGACCTGGTTGACCAGCAGTCCCCAGAGGCCTGGGAAGTGCCATCGGAGGCACAGGCTAAAGGATGGGGGTCCGTTCTGCTAGCTGGAATTTTGACAGGAGAAGTAAAGATGCTAATGGGAAGAGAGACATTGGCAGTGAGGAAGGATGATCATCAAACCTTACTCTGAAGGCCAGGGTTAGAGCTTTTTAGGGATGCTTTTTTCTCTCCATTCCACACTACGGGAAATACTGTCTAGAGATAAGATGGGTAATGTAGAAATTTTGTTCAGAGTTGATGTGGGGGCAGCAAGTGCCATCTCCCTTCCCCGTGTGGTTCTGAACAAGAATCTATGGTTTAAACCACCGAGAGAGGCTTATATTCACAAAAAGAAAAGAAAATAGCTCAGTGTACACATTAGGAGATTCTAAAAAACAAAGGAAAGGAAAGAGGGAGGGATCCATGGAATCTTCCAGAATCCCCAGCCATGACTGACCATCAGGCCTGGTTTTAAGGAGGCAAGAGTAAGGCTTCTTCTTGTGCCTCATCTATGTCCTTAAATCTTCTTAACCAGGAGGGGGCTATGAGCCCCTGGGGTCCTTCTGGTGAGAAGGAAAGAATATCATTTTTAAGGAGGAGCATCTGTTTCTGCGGTCACCTTTCAAGATAATGGTGATGACAGAGGAAGAGGACAGACACCCAGACAAGGCTAACATTAAACCCATGGCCTGGGGAGCACAGGGGCCACTCCCCAAAGAAAAGATCTGAGGGTGGGAGGACATGCTTAATGAGAAACTGAAGAAGGTGAAGTGAAGATCAGTGGAGTGTGGGCATTTTGGGGAAAAGAACTGGAAAACAGAGACTGGGCAATGGACCATATACTTTTGCACTTATCTAATGCTCCAGTATAAAATAGAAAAAGCCATCCTTCTTCATGACACTTTATTAGCATCTCCCATAAAAGCCCACATCTATGACAGCTGTAAATGCTGAGAGTGTCCCAAAGAATTGTACAGTACACAACTGCATACCTGCACAGTGTAGGTCTGCTGCTGGCTATTGTGAAAATTTGTAGAGACAGATTAGTAAACAGGGATTTTAGAACACCTTTCTCTGTGTAAAGTGATATATGTTCCCCTTTGCCATCTCTTCACAAACTTTAAGGAAAAAAATAACACTTCTGCCTGCGCCCTCAATTCTGGAGACTGGACAGCCTGGGGTGAGTGTCCCCATATCATCCTGAGCCCCAGGAGTTTAAGATCATTGCTCCCACTGGCCAGGGAGCTTCACAGCTTCCTGGATCAGCAGGTCGTGGGCCTGTCTACAGCAACTTCCTGGATTCCTGCCATGCTCAGGCAGCTCCAGGGATCTTGAGCCTGCCTGTGCCCTCAATTCTGGAAACTGGCAGCCTGAGGTGAGTGTCCCTGCACCATCCTGAGCCCAGGGAGTTTGGGATCATTGCTCCCACCAGTCAAAGAACTTCACAATTTCCTGCTACACTTGACCAGCCCCACAGGGCTTGGATCTGCCTGCCCCATCCCCAGTGACCCTCTCTCAATCTGGAGGACTGGGTGGCCAGAGTTCCAGGAGCCAAGGACATAGAAGAGGATTTCCAACAGGCCCAGGGGAAGCCTTGGAATAACACTTAAAACACGGAAATATAGGAAAATGACAAAACAAAAGACCAAAATACAATCTCAAACCTCAAGCCCTTCCCAAGAAACCTTAGGAGCTATGTACATAGAAGAAAATATATGTCGTACACCTGAAATACTTGAAATAATAGCAACAGAAATAAAGAAGCAACTCCAGGAAGCTTTAAAGGAATTCAAACTAGAAATAATATCCCAGGTAAAAGAAGAAATGATAAAAGGAATGAAAGAGATGCTGAACATATCTAAAGAAGACACAGTTAAAAATCAGAAGAACTAAAGAAAAAGATAGAATCCCAAGATGAACAATATAAGAAACAAACAGAATACATGAAGCAGATGCAAAGAGATAATACAGGAAATCAAAAATTCCATTGAAGGTTGTAAAAATTGCCTCAGTGAAAGGGAAGATAGAATTTCAGAACTTGAAGACAAGATTGTAGATAGTGAACAGGAAAGGAAAGATCTTTAAAAATAACAAGGAATCAGGATATAACAACTCAACAGCTGCAGGATGATGCAAAGAAAAATAACATACGAGTGATAGGGAAAAATGAAAAACAAGGGGACAACATAAAGGATGCCAAGAGGATATTTAGAGAATAATAGCTGAAAATTTCCCAAACATGAGAATGGAAACTGACATTAAGATCAGTGAAGCATATAGAACTCCAAATAGCCATAATCAAAATAAAACTACACCCAGACATATAATAATCACCATCCCAGAAATCCAACATAAGAATAGAATATTAAAAGCTGTCAAAGAGAAAAGACAGATCACCTCTAAAGGAAAACCTATCAGAATCACAGCAGACTTCTCAGCACAAACAATAAAGTCAAGAAGAGCATGGAGTGAAGTATTTCAGATCCTAAAGGAAAATGATTTCCACCCTAGACTGATGTACCCTGCAAAACTGACCTTCAAAATGGATGGAGAAATAAGATACTTCCATGACAAAGAACAGCTGAAGAACTTCATGATCAACAAGCCAACCCCGCAAAAAATATTGAAAGACATTTTAGATACACAAAGGAAAAAAACACTAAGCAAAGCAGATAATTAAACAGAACAGAAAGATAAAAATGTAACAGCAGAAAGATAACATGTCAACAATAAACCAACATATAACAGTTATAACCATTAATGTAAATGGTCTCAATGCACCAATTAAAAGAAACAGACTGGCAGAATGGATCAAGAAACAAACTCCAACCATATGCTGTTTACAGGAAACCTATCTAACCCAAAAGGATACTCACAAACTGAAAGTTAAAGAATGGAAAACTATACTTCATGCAACAGCAAACCCCCAAAAAGTGTGTGTGGGGCTAGCTGTTCTGTTTGTAGACAATGTGACCTTCAAACCAAGAATGATCAGAAGATATAAAGAAGTTCACTACATACTGGTTAGCGGAAAACTCCAAGAGGAAGAGATAACAATCTTAAATATAAAAGCACCAAATTCCAGCACACCCAGTTATATAAAGCAAGTATTAATAGAAATCAAAAACCAAATTAGCAATAACACAATTATAACAGGAGACCTTAACACACCATTGACACCAAGGGACAGATCAACCAGACGGAAAATCAGCAAAGAAATAACAGAACTGAATCACACCTGTGAACAAATGGACTTGATAGACATATACAGAGTGTTCCATCCAACAACATCAGCATATACATTCTTCTCAGCGGTACATGGGACATTCTCTAAAATAGACCATAAACTAGCCCACATAACATATTTAAATAAATGCGAAATAGTTGAAATTATCTCATACATGTTATCGGATCATAGCAGCATGAAATTATTAATTAATAATAAAAGATACTGCAAAATTTCCACAAACACATGGAAACTGAATAACATACTCTTGAGTAATCAGTGGGTCACAGGGAAATTAAATAAGAAATTAAACAATACCTACAAGCAAACGAAAATACAAATACAACTTACTGCAATCTGTGGGATCCAATGAAAGTGAACCTCAGAGGAAAATTTATTGCACTGAGTTCCCACATCAGGAAAACAGAACGAATACAAATAAATAACCTGATGCTACATCTCAAACAGCTAGAAAAAGAAGAGCAAGTCAATCCCAAAGCCAAAAGAAGGGAGGAAATTACAAATATCAGAGCAGAAATTAATGCAATAGAGAATAAGAAAACAAAGAATCAATGAATCAAAGAGTTTGTTCTTTGAAAGAATAAATAATATTGATAAGCCCCTAGCCAACCTTATTTTAAAAAGGAAAGAAAAAGCTCAAATAAGGAATGAAAAAGATGAAATCAGTACAAACTCTGTGGATATACAGATCATCAATACCTATTTCAAAAACCTCTACTTTCATAGGTTCATTAACACAGAAGAAATGGGCAGATTCCTAGAAACATACATATGAAGTACCAAAGCTAGGTCAAGAAGGTGTAAAACTGCTGAATAACTCAATTTCTATTAATGAAATTAAAAATGTAATTAAG